AATTTGTATATTTTTAAAGATACAAATTTTAAAATGCAAATTAAATTGGTTTAAAAAAAAATTCAGAATAACTGTTGAAGCCTATCAAAAAGGCCTGAGTACTATTGAAATTACGAAAACCCATGTTTGTTATATGATCCGTTACATCGTCAGTGATGACGCGTTCTTTATTTTAATAAATTAAAACTATAGTCTACAACTATATTATACTTAATGTACTGTCTACCTGTATTCAATTTTAAATTTATTATTTTTATTTCCAGTGTACAGATGGCGAAAACCAGTCTTCCGACTTAGGTAGATAAACAAATTATGAAAACGAAGAATTCACACGTGAATAATATTATGTAGATGAATGTAAAAAACTCTCAAGACAGAGAGAGAGTGCTCGTTTCGATGTGTACATAAACTTTACACAACATAATAAATATTATGTACGAAGTTGAGTTTCACGGTATTTATATATTATTATTTATATTATTTGATTTTTGTAAAATGAATTATAATGTTAAAATTGTATAAATGTACATATATGGTCTGCGCAATGACGGAACTTAAAAAATGTATAGAAAAAAAAAAATGATTTAGGAAAACGTTGTATTTAATGAGTTAAATAAATCTCCGTTGGAGTTATCCGTGAGCAAAATTATCAAATTAAAAGTATAGATATTTTATAGTTAGTGAAAGGTACTTATGCAATAGGTACATAAACCTGAATAGTGGATCTTTACGTTGGTATAGTAATAATATGTCTGCCTAAAATGCCTGTAGCCTGTTACTATGGCGGATTGAATGTGAATTCAATATTAATTCCGGTTTGTAAATTAGATTTCGTTTAGGTAATTTCCTATTTTTTGGCTATAGACATATGTAGTTTATTTAGACCTTTCTTAAATGGAAATTCGTTAAACTTTATTTACAAACATATATTTTTAGATAAAAAAAAAAGTATCCTAAAAATGGTATTTAAGGTTTTATTATAAACTACAAATTAAAATTGTCGAGATTTTATATACGTTCTTTAAGCGGTTATAGATCGCAATTTTGTATTATCATTCGCTATAGGTATTTGTTTTAAATTTACAGTAATAATAAAATGCGCAATTTAGTTTCCAAGTTAAAGCCAAAAGGTGACTTCTAACAGTGTTGCAAATTTCAAAAAATAATAATATTGTACTTTTTTAGATTCAGAGTGTAACGAGGAATATATTGGTTTTAGAATGATATTAATTTATTTATTTTGTTTATACTGTGAAAAATATTTCTACCAGAAATTTTACTTCAATGTATTAAGTGTAACACATTTTCTGAAAAGAAATTATATATACTTGGTACTCCAAGTATATTATTTTCAGATTTTCTAAACGGTTTTCATAATAATTGAGAAAAACCGAGAAGAAATGGGAAAATTTACGAATATAATACTTTTGTTATTTTAAATTTTGTTTTTTTGTGGTAATTTAGTTTAAAATATTCATAGAAACCTAAATATAAATTTGGTTAGAAAACTCTTATTTACATATTTTAGACGTACTGAAATATTTAAAACATTAGTGCAATTTTTGAACTATTTAAAGACATTTTAATTTTGCAAGTTTTCTACGTAATCTGTATTCGTTAAGTATTCTGTGGATAGAATTATTAAATTCAACGTCGTACTTATTTTGTGGTATAAAAAAAAATAACTGATACTGGGGATGGGAGCGGCCAATATTGTAGGTGAAGACTTGAAAAGGTAGGATTCATAAGATTATTTCATTTATATCTGTAAGCAACGATAAACCATTGCTTGACAAAAGACGATTTCGAGCGCAGTTCAGTAATACATAATTTGAAGAGCCGTAATTTTTTTTTTCAATTTTTGTTTAAATTTGATTTCAAAACAATTATAAAAAAAAAAAAGTCGTCCAATGATTTTGGAAATTTTACCACGTCTAGATAAATTAAATATAAGTATTATTACCAAGTTTGAAGTCTCTACGTGTATTTATAACCGAATTATTTCCAAAATTTAAATTTAATTCCTTAAAAGCTCAAAAGTGGCTCAAAAGTTTTGGCGATGATACCGTAATAGAGTAAATCAATAAGGCAACAAAAAATGTATCTTGTGATTTTTCGATTAAATCATTTTTTTCTGGTAGAAAACGTAATCCGTGTTTTTACGCGCTACGCTCGAAATTTAAAAACAAATTCGAATTTCGTATGAAAAACATTATTGCATAAATATTTCCGACAAATTCCCTAATGTCGAAGATTCGAATAAGTCTCGTCTGGTAGAAATCGTGTTGACCAACACAAAAAAAAAAACGGCTAATTAAATCCAAATTAAAAATTATGTACGTACAGACTACAAAGACAGACTACGTAATATTTTAAAATAGGTAGGTAGGTACATAATAATTACAGCCACTATCGTCGTTGCCATCGTCGCCAGATTGATACATTACTTTAATTTTTTGACGTAATGAAAAATAAAAAGTAACGATCTAAACAATAATTTTTGTGAATTTCACTATCTAAATAAAGTGTTACGAATTACGATAATATGATATTTATCAAAATAAAATACGTGCGATATTGAACGGTAAAGTGTATTTTAATTACGGTTTATACACTCTAAGAACTTAGAAATATTTAAAAGATATTATTAATTGATTAGAAAATCAAAAAATGATTTCTTTGAAGTACAATCTAGACCACTAGAGCTTTCAGAAAAGTTGCTACATTTAAAAATCGGAGCAAGTTTACTAGGAAAAAACGTGTCCACAGACTAGAACAAAGAACGAAAAAAAAATAAATAAATAAACAGCATTGTAAAATCAATAGCTCCCTCGATACGGTTGGAATCTAAAATAGAATTTAATGTAGAACGAGTCTAGTATTTTTTTTTATAAGAATTTTTATATCAAATTTTGATGAAAATCGTAAATATTATTGTCTTTCAAAATTCAAAACATGTATTACAGAACTTCGGTCCAAATCATCTTTCGTTAGCAATAGTTTATCGTTGCTTACAGCTGAAAATTAAAAAACTATGTATCCTACCTTCCTGACTTCCCACCTACAACAGTGTCGCATCAGTTATGCGAAGTATGTCCGTCTTTTGGTACAATATTTATCATCATATTTTAATTATTATTGTTTACACTATGATCTATTGCCAATCTTTGCCAACGAAAAAACGATTCTGAGTGAAGTTTGTTTAATAGGTTGCTTTGTCAACAATATACATTTGTCACATTATGGTAAAATGATTACATATGCAATGTATATTTTCTTTAATAATAGTTGTTATATATACTTATTTTCGCGCATTTCCGGGAATTACGTTTCTCCCATTTATTATGAAAACAGCTGGGAATATCAAAAAATGATGTGTTTAAAGTACCTCCCCAGTCAAATTTCCTTTCAGAAAAAGTGCTATCATTGTAAATCGGAGTAAAATTGCTGGTAGATGGTAGGAAAAATGATGATGACATATAACAAATTTATTGGTTATATTTTATCATTTAACAAATAATAAAAAAAATGGATCACAAATTTTAACGATAAATTTATTTATAATTATAGAAAAGTGTTCAATATTTTATAACTGTAGTACGCTGTCGAATGAATTTGAAAAACTTATTGAACAATTGTATGACTTATCTGTAGTATTTCAATATGATAAAGAATGTATAATCTAAGATTTCAAATCTTTTAAATTTGTAGTTATGAATAAAAACAAAATTGGTGGAAACTTCTAATATTAATTTTTTAACAACTAAGATAAATAGCAGACTAAATTTTGTGTATGTTGATTATCTCTGATACGGTTAAACCAATAATTCAATGCAATGAATAAAGTTATGTCAACATTTTGAAATTAGACGGGGGGACAGTTGTGTACAAAAATAACTATCAAAGGAAAGAAAACTCACCTCAGGAGTTCATCAAAGAGGCGATTGATTTTTATGCAAGAAAAATAAGTTACATTAGATTCATTTAAAAAATAATAATGTTTCTAATTTTTTTTTAAATATGTATATAATATTTGATGTGTTAAATGTCAAATGTACTGGATGAATTATAATAAATAATAATAATTTAATTTATTAATACTTTGAAGTTCTTTTTCTTTGTACTTCATAGTCAGCAAACGTTTTTTGACAAATCATCTTTTATCAAATATTTTGATACTTCGTACATTTTTAATTTTCATACTTTTAACGGTTGAGCAAAATCGGTTTTTTTTTACAAATGTGATGGTGATTTTTTTGCATTCCTTTTTACACAATTTGTTTCTTTAGTACAATTTGCCATGACTATATGGTCTATACATAGAGTTTTCGATACGATCAAATAAAATATAATTGTCTAATAAAATTACGGGTAACCGGTTATCAGCATTTATCGTTCGTATAGTAACCATTATTAAATTATATCTTATTCCTATAAGTGATAAATAGGTGTTAAATATATTAAAAAACTAATGTGAATAAAGTTATGTTCTGTTAATGTTAGTTATTAATTGAATTATTTTTCTATGATGTGGTGAGTTTGGTTTTAAAAGTCGTCAAAAAGTTATTTAAAACATATTTTAATATATTTTAATATATTTTAATATATTATTATTATTATTTTATTTAAAATATATTTTAAAAATAAATAAATGTACAAATTGTTTTTCTTTTTCATTAGGCTTGGTTATAATAAACAGATAGTCTAATATTGTAATATTTTTAATCCTATTTCATATTTTTTGGTGAAAATTTAATTTTGTATATATTTTTTTTCATCTGAATATAATCAACTATTATAATATGTATTATTATTTTAGTTCTATCATTAAGATATAACAAACACTTACAACAAAAAATGAATTTCTGGGCTCAACATTGTTTACCATCACGACATTATTTGTATATAATACTATTATACAACTTGTATATACGTAAATAAAAAAAAACAGATTATAAAAATAATACAAATAGAAAAATGAAATATTTTTTTATTAGATAAGAATATTACGTGTTCGCGGAAGATTATATGCAGATGTCTCAAATGGAATACTAAACTTAAAAAAAAAAAAAAACAATAGTAAGTCCAAAATGTACCTATATAGTATATATAATATATTAAGTCATAGTAACGCAGAGACATAGAATTATTATTGTGTTGCTACCATAAAATATATAAGCCCTACCCAATGTTGCAGCAGACCAATTCGGAAAGAAGGGAAAACACTTTTTATGCGTTTCGCTCTGACTTCATCGCGTTACACCGGTCATTTAGTACTATGCAATCAACACTGCTGTAATATACATCTTATAATAAATTACAATGTGTACATATTACAATAATTACCATCGGAAAAAGTGTAATTTAATTGATTTAGACGTTTTGTTCTTTTTTCCTCCGTTATATTTTTCATTTTTATCAAATGTTATTTAATGTTCGAATATAAAAATAAAAAATATAAATTAGAATAGTGCCAAACACGCGTGATAATTGAGTACAAATATGAATGTAAGTGAAAAATCATAATTATTTCTTACTTATATAGTAGTATTATATAGTTAGTATTTACAATTTTATTTCATTGATATAATATGTATATTACTTATATTACTTGTATTACTAATACCTATATTATTTATTAATGATATGTATTCTAATGAATGAAATCTCTCCAATTAAATATTGTAAAATTCACATTTTTAGATATATACTTGGTTTATACTTATAGGTATACCGGTTAAGTTAAATTTGTCCATTTAAGCTTCGTTTTTATAAACTATTAAATTGCAATCGTCATGTTTGTATGACCATCTCAATTTTAAATGACAACATAAAACCAGCATGTATTTTTTGATATAAATAATTTTTAAATTGTATCAATTGGATAAGTAAAAATACGTAAAAAAATAAAATATGCAATTTTTCGCAAATTGTAAACAATTTATTTTTATACTGATTTTTACTAATCGAATTAAAAACTAAATCTGTAATCAAGACTATAATAGAGTGACTTTTAAAACTTTATTTTCTTGTTTTAAGCACTTAATAATTGGAATTATTACCATTAAATCAATAAAAATAAAACTATAAAGTAAGATAATTACTTAAACTTTTATTAATAATATTTTAGATTCCAGTGAAGTATTTACGATTTTTTTCTGAGGGAGAGAGGAAATTAAAAAATAACTGAATCAATGAAAATTAATAAAAAAAATTGTATATTTCTTGAAAAATTGTATTATCTTATATTTACTAATACTGTAAATCTTATGAGATAATAGTAATAAATAAACTAACTAATGAAAATAAAAATATTTAATTTGTCTAGTAAGTTAATTTTTCTAAATTATGCCGCGAATAGCTTTTTTAATTTCGTTTAGTCGAAATCTAAATAATTAATAGATATTTCCGAATATCCCATTTCCTGAAGCATAAGAAATCAAAAAATTAGGAGTACTATGTGTTGTTGGGTTCATGGGGGTTGTGGTTTATAATTTTATGCTGAAGAAAATAAGTATTTTATCGATAGAAGATATTGAACGTGATTAGGTACTTATTAATTTATAACGCAATCAAATGTTCAATGAAACTACAATATTCTTCATCTGACAAACAAGAATAATTTATTTTTATTTTTATTTTTAGATGTGAATCCCCTATCCCCTTCCCCCGTAACTATGCCATTGATTAATTCGATTAAGAACTGCAATATTAAATTTAAAAAAAAAAAAACAAAATACAAATCTTTTTCAATGTGACATACTTGATTTTAAATTGATTTTGATTATAAATTTAATATAATATGTCACGATCGACATGAATATAATTTGATGTTCTATAATGTTAATGTTTTATTACATGTTAGATACTGAACAATAACTGTAAATCTAATTTTAACGCCGTGTTCTGTAGTGTAATAATATTACAATGTTTATTATTATGAAACTATATATAAGTAATATTTACTATTAAAAATATATAATACCTACTTAATAACATTATAAAGATTCGTCTACAACACGTGCGTCTATATACACATCACACACACATAATAATAAATCTAATATCTAATAGTATTATTACTTTATTAAACGATCTCTCTACAGTTTAGGTATTGTTACAAAAATAATAAGTACCTGCCTAATATTATTATCGTCGAGTTATATATTATTACTTTTTAGTGTTGTACGTATCTATATGAGTAATAATAATTATATTACGACGTTACTGCAGTTACTTTTTCACGCACTATTATATTAAGTATATGCTGGACACAATAATGTTTACACATTTAATATGTTCTACATTTTTACAATAATTTATTATAAGATAATCGACAAACATGAAATTTGAAATTATTCGTAAAAATAACCATTTAAATGGTATTATATACTAATTCGTTGGTTAGAGAAATATTGTTTAAAGGTTTTAAGGTTAAAATGATAAAGTAATGATAAGGATCGTTTTATATTTAAAAACCGGCATTGTTATTTGAATTTTCTTTTAGTATTTTCAAATTCTGAGTGCAGCGAAAAAGCTGTCATCACTTTTACTAAGATGTTTTATTTTCTCCTAAAAAATACTACAATTTTTTTCTTTAAACCACTTGTATCTAACTCAAAAGACACAGATTTTTCACTTAGCTTGAAAAAATTGTTTAGATTTCTCACATTATTTCTTAACAATAAAAAACAACAAAAAATGACGATACATTGGTTTTATTTTTAGATTTTGAATGGAGCGAAGAAACTTATAGTTTAAAAAGATGTTTATTTTATTATTATTTATTTTTTTCTGTGAACAACTTTTCTACCAGCAATTTTGTTCCGATTTACAATGAAAGAACTTTTCACTTAAAGAAATATGACGAGAGATATTTTAAGGAGGTCATTTTTCGATTTTCCCAGAAAATGTGGAAAACTGGGAAAAACGTAGTAAAAACGGGAAAGTCGGTATAATAATCAAATATTTTTAAAGAAAATATATAATACCTATTTAACTTTTTTACCATAATATGACATATGTATATATATATTGTTGAAAAAGCATCAATATCAACTGAAATCCGCTTAGAATATTTTTTTTCGTTAGCAATTGTTTATCGTTGTTTACAAGTATACATTAAATTACCTATAACAGTGGCTGCACCCGACACCATTATCCTAAGACAGTTTTTGTTAATTTTTAGGTTACCTTGGATACAAGGGGAAAACCTCGATTAATACCATAGTAGTAACCTTACTAGTTTATCGATTTCCTCTCAGAATCGTTTTTCTTTTGTATTGTAATGATTTATCGTTGATTTTAGCAGGTAGGAATATAAATTAAATTACCCTACATCCAATACTTACTAAATAGAAGCATATCCAGTTTTTGTTAATGGTGTACATCAAGCATTTTAAAAACAGTTAATTTTTTTGGCAATATTTGAACACTGGTTTTTATTTCTGACCGCAGTTGGGAATGTATTGATTTACTTATAGAGTAAATTGAAGGTGGCGTTTTATATATTTATTCAGATAGCATTTGTTGCTTCAATTAGTTTTATTTAAAAATTCCCTCTCTATATTAGATACTTTATGGTTCTAATTTATATGCACTTGTTTTAGATTCCAAGCGACGAATCGATTAATTTTACTATGATGTGATTTACTATGATTTTTTTTCTAAATGTCAAAAACTTAGCTAGCAGAAATCTTGCTCCAATCAAAAAATAACTAGAGCTTTTTTGTAGCATTTTGGATTTTGTTAGTGCACTGAACAAATCATTTTTTGATTTTCCATATGCAAGTATTTTTCATAAAAATTGGGAAAAACTTGGAAAACGTATGGGGAAAACATACATATTTACGAAAATAAAAGTTGTATTATTTTTGATTTCGTTTTCTACCAGACATCTTATATTGTAAATCATTTACGATGTAGCTGCTTTCTGAAACATGTTTTGTCTGGTTGGTGCGTAAGAAATTCGTTTTCTGATTTTCAATGTAGTTGTTTTAGTAATATTGGGAAAATACAGGAATTCTTCAGTATTCATGATTTCATTATTTTCAGTATTGTTTTATTACTACAATTCAGTTTAAAATAACCATAGATATAGACCTGAAATGTTTACATAATATACCTAACCTAATAAGCTAATAGGTAATACTTTTTATAGACGTGCAGTTAAATTGTATTTTGTCGATTTTTTAGTTATATTTAGTTTTTTGTGAATAAAAACGTTTTGACCTAGTAGACGTTTTTAAAAATTTTCTCAAGAGTCAAAATTGATATAGCCATAAAGGTACAGAAGCATTTAAAATTTCCACATTATACTTATAGTGTTTAAGTATAGACTGTTGTAAATTGAATTCGTTTTATATTATTTGTATATTGTTTTTATTTACCTACCTATATACTATAATATAGAGAATTGCGGTTATAAGTAAAATTATATTGTTTGTTATTTCGCCGAAGAAATAATGATTCTTCTACTGTAGTGATTTTCGTTGTGGGTACATAAATACGGGAAAATTATTGTGAAATCAAATTGTGGTGTCTAAAAGTGGTTAAAATTCGAATTGTTTCCGCCTTCATTTGCCGTATAGCAGTGTCATTATAATTATTGTGATCATGAGCTATGAATTATGTGATTATTCCTCACTAATCACAGTTCGGGACTGTATATTATTAATGATGATGATGGTTTCCATATTGTTTATATGTTGGGCATTATTTATCTAACCAATCATAGACATTTTCGTTTCGATTTAATAATCTTATTACTGTTTCGTATTTTTAAAAAATAAAAATAATATATTCTCAGCTATAATAATTTTTGTGTTTTTTACTATTTTAAACATTTCTTTTCGTGATTTCAATCTTATATCTCCGGTATGACATTTTTATTCTTGTATCATCATTTCTTCATATTTATAGGTATGCCATATGCCCTCAATACTCCTCAAATTATACTAGTATAATATAACATTGAACCCCACATAGTTTTTCTTTGGCTTACCTGACTTATTCCGTTTTCTTCATTTAATTCGGCCAACTTTTTGTGGTATCCAATCCGGCATATTATATATTCTTTAATTTATCCTAAATTATATCATATTCATTTTTAATTCTATCCAACCTGAGTCCTGAAGGTCACAGCGCACACGTCACATCATATTCTCGCAGTTAATATTCCGTTGTACATATCTATACATTCAAACCCCACCATAGGCCTCTGTGATAGCTTTTTTTTTTTTAAAAAAATGTCCCTTTAATCTTATAATGTTGTTTTTTACCTCGATTTGTATATTTCCATGTAATCATATGATATATTAAAATAACTATATTATTATTATTGCAGCGTTACACAAAGCGTATACGCTGTAGCTATACGTTTCGATACGATTTTCTTATAACATACAGGTAGATTATCCATCGAGGAGAAAAAAAAATGGTTTCAATTATACGAATAATAACAATATTTAGGTAGGTATAAAGGCACATATAGCGATCAAAAATAATATAACGATTCGTTTGTTTCGCAATGTCGGAATTGCTTTATGTTTTCAGTGAATTATGTTGTGTCCGAGAACATTTACTGCTGTCACTGTCATCGCCGCGATTAATCGCAGGCAATTGCGTTTTGTGCAACCCGGGCGGGCTTTTATGTCCCGATAAATACCTATGTGCGCACGAGATGTGATTTATTATATTTAGTTTTTCCATTTGTAACACCGCCGCAGACAGACATTGTAAATGGTTCAATCGACGTCGGTCGATTAAAAAATAAAAATCGATAAAAAAAAAAAAATACTCCTTCTCTGCAATACTTGGGTAAACGAATCGAAATGAAATATCCTCAACAATAAAACACGTAATCCGTTGAAAGTATATAGAAACTCAATGTCGAAGTTTGACACGCGATGAGTATAGGTACCTATTATAATATAGAGAGATCCGTTTTTACAATGTCCGGTTAGTGCTAACCGGTAAACACTGTCGATTCACTCGTGGTTAGGGGTAATCAACACTTTATGGGACACGGTAAGAACCGAAGCGAGTGTATCTGCAGGATTTGACAATTTCCTGTAAATGTAATTGCATACAAGCAATTATCAAATTATCTTCCTTGCATATAAGTATAATATGTAGAGTATGATTATGCACATAATATATTATTATAATATACGTTTGTTTTTTACACGGTAGTAGAGTATTATCCATACATATATTGTATACAAATATTATACGGTAGTAACACTTTCGATCGCGTATACCAGTTGCAAAACGACAACAACTGTTTATTTTTATTCTAATCGCGTGTTACCTGTAATCGGACTGGTTATTATTCGAGACCGGAATTTAAAAAAATCTACTAATATATAACGTAAAAATCGACTAGGATATCTCGAAAATTTCACGACTTGGTATTATATTTATATAGTCATATGCAAATCGCATTATAAAACCTAAACTTCTATTCATATTATTTCATATAGGTACGTATATATAATAATATTGACATCATAGTTGTTATTGTTGTTTTATTTTTTTTTTTATAGTCGCAATAGTAGACATTTTTTATGGACATTAAAATATACTCCACTACTACAGTAGTGGTGCAATATTAACTCTCCTCAAATCTAAAATTAAGAGTGGAATTTTTTACAGGGACGTACTGACCATATTATAGTCTTCTATATACCGGCCGCTTCCCGAATTTAGTTTGTGGGCAGTATAATAATAACTCGTTTATCCATAAGGTTTTTTCTCCACTCATCAACTTTAGTGGTGATTTCTAATAGAAACTGTTTTTAAGCTGGTACATTGAGGAGGTCACATTTTCCTTGCAATTTTCTGAATTATGCGAGAAAACCGAATTGTTATCGATTTTGTTTTTTTGTTTTGTATTTTGATGAAAAATAATCGTAGAAATGTGAATTTCATACTGAATATACTTATATAAATATTAGCAGTTTCAAGACGTAAAATTTTCGAAACTTTTTGTAAGTTATTTATTTATTTATTTTTGTAAGTTACTTAAAAAAATTTCAAATTTTCTAAATCGCGATTGGTTTTATGTAGATATAATTTTATTGATTAATATAAAATCAAAAAAATTCGAAATGATTTTCATCATAAGATGTAATTAGATCACAAGTTGTATTTGGTGTTAAAATAAAAGCTAAGTTTAATACGTAATAATTTATTTTTATATGTATATGTTACGGATATGTTGTAAATTGGATAATGTATTGTTTTCGTTTAATTGAACCGATTTTGTGTTGTTATAGTTATAATTTTAGAGTGAATTAGGCTATTATCAAACTTAAAGATAACAACATTGAGGTTGATAATAGGCAAATTCGCTCTAATATTAAAAAAATAGCACAAAATCGGTTTTATCGGACGAAAAGTTGACATTATCCAATTTTCAAAATTAGTCGTGACATACATACTGTATTGTAGGATAGACCTTCCCCAGTCCGCCTCTATACATAAGTAATAAGTATACACTATTACATGCTGCACTTGCGCTTTATATGCTTTTTGAAAATGCTTTTTTCGTATACAATAATCCTGGAAATCGTACATGTAGAAAATATTTTTTAATACATTCGACCGTCACAAACAGGAAGTACGGGCGAATTATTAGTTTGCTTTGCATATTCGAAGGTTGGTTAACCCTCATTGATTCGTGTTCACCTTATATTATTACACCTGTCAGTAGAAACTAATTTGTTCAATACCGCGTTAAAAACAAAATTCCACAACAATTACATCACAGACACTACTGTTTTTACGCGAGAAAAACTACAATAATATTATTATCAACGGGGTTCGAATAATAATATAAGAATAACGTAGGTACTTTAATGTAATGTAATACTTTAATATTTTATTTTTATTTCTATTACAGTACCTATTATTGAGAAAATGTGGTAAGAAATGGTAATTTAAAAAATACCCAAGTTTCTATCTTAAAAAACGAAAAACCGTTGTTAAACCACACACGCATCACTTTATAGCGTTGCATTACGTTCAAATGATTAAAATCTATTATCAACATTCATGAATCTAGAAAAAAATATTGATTTAAATATTATATTGACTGTACACGTTTTTTGCAGTTCGTGATTTTACTACTTCGTGGTGTCTAATTTAAAACGTAGGTACACCTACGTCAGTGTACGCAACAATACATGAATAAAAATGTGTTTTTTAAATTTAATTTCACGGGAAAAACCAAAATAAATCATCCGGGGAAATTATAGGAAAAAAATTTAATAAAAAGTGTGTTAATAATTAAAATATTTGTAAACGTATATTTTTTGAATTTTCCGGTTTCATTACTTATATTAATCATTTAGTAAATAGTTAAAATTAACTTATGACCTAGCCTACAAACTGACATTAGGTATGTATTATATTATATAAAATGTTTTAAGTATCAATAATTTAAAAGAAATAATTACAAATTATTCGGCTTCGATACGCCGCAATATTTCATACAAACGTTAATTAGAATTATTCGAAACCATATTTTTTTTACTAATTACGAATTGAAATCTTTACAATTATAAGTAATACTATTTTTACTTTAACAATATTGTACTTATACCTACCAATATATTCTAAGAACATCAATTTGACAGTTTGTAGTTAATTTGTTTTGAACATTTTAGTTCGGAACGGCCTTGATGATTATAAGAAACGTTACAGTTACTATAATTAATCAATGTTAATTAAAGGTCACCACGATATTGTGCCGAGTAATCAAATTAGGTTCTAAACGCCGTTTTAATAGCATAACACAATTCACTTGATTCCGAATTATAAAATAAATATTGCACAACGTTTTATTTTCTTAATTTTACATGCACATTTATATTTTATGGTCACGGTCGTCGAACACAACTGCTAGGTACACCAAGAGTTTAATATTTGTATTTATTCGGTCCAATATATGAAATTAAATTTATATAGCATATTATCCGCAGGATTATACTAAATTATATTCTCTGTGAATATTATAATAATGCTGTGTGTGATAATATCATGATATATTACATTATAGCGTTCGTATTTTATATATTAATAAAACCATTTTTTAAACCATGAGCAATGATAATTGTTTGTTTGTACTATTCATCTTAAAACATAATTATTGTCAGAAATGTATTTATGGAATAGAGGAGGTGGCTAAGAGAACTGTAGTCAACACCCTTTCCTTTAAAAAATTTCCCAAAATACCCGCTGGTCCATGAGATTTCCTCAAAAACGTCGTTAATAATCGACCTATTACCGAACAAATTTTTAGTTAGGTATTGATAAATTTTAATTAGTTATTATATACCTGTATAAACTTAAAATTAAATCGTTACAAATTTTTTTTAAAAAAATTCAAACTTATTTTCCTTTTAAAATCATAAAGAGAAAACATATAATTTCTCCAAACTCCCCCTCCCCCAATACAGTTTAAATAAAACTTTAAGAATAACAAAAACAAATATTTAAATCCAATTTTCATTAATATTATTTATATTAATAAATAATGAATACAAATATTTAATATTAAAATTTCAAATAAATACTATTTCATTATTTTATAACATAACTGCAGATACCTCCTATGATTTCAAAAAACCCGTCGAAATTGATTATAATTCTGTGACATCACTACTCACTACCTAAATTACTTGTAGTTTTATACATAATAATCTATAGCTAGATTGTGTATCTACAGAAATTTAATTACATTTTGTTTTGCACTCAAGGAAGTTAGGGCTTGAAATGAGCCACAACTCAATTCCGGTTCACATTTTCACAAACAAAAAAAAAGTTTATCATATAAACATACTATATATTATATTACATAAGTATTTAAAAAAAATAAATATGTCTTCAATACATTTTCCATTTTAAGCATTGGTGAAAGAGTTAAAATAGATTGGGCAGGTAAGTCTTTCCTCTATGTGCAAATCATGGAGAGAAAGATAGGTCTCAGGAAATATAGATGGATGAGTTACATCATCTATATGTTTCCCCCCCCCTCTTCACATAAAAAATAGTTCCTACGCCTCTGTTTTAATGTTGCACCCAATTAAATATCTATTGGTCTTCAGGTATTCTAAACATCACGTATCTGATGTTGAACGGTCGACAATTTAAATGGTATATAATGCATATTTGATTACAACACGATGATTGTTTTTGATATTTCGGTTACAGCAAATAATAATCTATGGCGATATTTTAATTATACAGTGAATAAACGCAGATCACAACAGAATGTTATGGGATTATGTGGACTGCAGTGAAATGGAGTTTCAATAGTTAATAATACACAGTTAAAAGATACTTCTCGTATTTTGTAAATGATTCGATCTAAATAAATGCCAGTTTACTCGATGTATATTATTAACAATAATACTAGTTTCCAGATTTCTTTCAAGCTTTGAAAACATTTCTCCGAAATAGACTATAGGTATACGATATAGAAGAGAAAACGATCATGGAAATTGAGTTGTAGTCTGTACCTATCATTAATAATGTTATATAATATGGATTCAGCTATAGGTATAGCTATAGGCATGTGTCGTTAATAGTGACCATTAAAAACTGGTATATACGATAGTAATATTATTAGTACTTTTTCAATTAAAAATTAAAATGGATCGTTTTATTTATTACTATGTATTATATAGTATACTTAGGTCATTGGAAAAACTGGTTCCCTCGGAAACACAAGAAACTGAATCCCAACGTGGCGTGTTGGATTCGAAACATTTTTACAATATAGATTATAGACACACATTAATGCGCCTAAAAATACAATAACACGGGTACATTTTTAATTTTATAAATATTCTTCATATTTAAGAAGAAAGTTTTGGGAAGGGTTTTCGGTCTATACGCATTGATAAAACAAGTGACCAGAGGATGAGGAAAAATGAAGGAACTAAACAACTGTGAATATTGTATTTAAGAAAAACGAAGAAAAGATTTAAATAGGTTGGGCATTCATAGAGTAAGATAGGTGCACACTAATTCATGATTGGGGAGAATTATTCTTGTCAGGATAGTTTTAATTGGCTACATACCAAAATAAATAAGATTATTTATAGATGATGAATATCATAAATATAATAAATATATACAATATTATATATAATTTAATTTTTCAACCGTAGATTTTTCGTTTTTCCTTTCTTTTTCGGGTTACAAAACAAGTTTTGGGGCCATCCCGTCATACATATTTCTTGACTATATCTTCCCACCTCCTCGATGTTCTAAAGAGTTTTTCCCTGTCAAGTTCTTTTCAGCACTGTACGTACTATCTTACTAGCTTATTATAGTCTATTATTTCCGATGTTCTCTACCATGTTAGGCTTCTGATACAGCGATTCAAGTTTCTCGTTTTTTTCTTATCCTCGACTCTTCAGTTCTATGCAGTTACGGGGAAAACAGCAGACTCCGTCCACCCACGAACGAACACCGTACATTGTTATTTTACAATATTTTGACAGAAATAAGTCGTACCTATACACATATATGTAAATTTTGATAATCGCTATTCACTACAACTACAGCACTGTATACCAAAGGGTTAACGACTCGAGAAATGTATTATAATAATAATATTATCCAAACATAATATTACATTATCTATGTTTTATTATTACTATGCCGGACACGTTTGTATAATAATATATGCGACCGCCGTGGCGGCAGCGGCGGCGGCGGCGGCGATACCGATATAGTGTGCCTGTATAGTATATAGTGTGTGGTATACCTAGGTAAGATCGAGTACGCAGGACGGCTATTGTTGCGATAAATACGTCTATTTATACATTTGGAGGTTATGCGAACCCTCGTCTCCGTTGATTATTATTATTTGTATATTGTGCGCGTAACTACCTATCTATGTGCGGCCGAAACGTGCTCGTATATATTATTATTATTATTATTATTATTACTACCTATATACCATAGGTACCTTCGAAGACAAGAAGACGTGTGTGTGTGTGTGCGTGTGTGCAACGCGCTCCATCATAGTAATAATAATAACAATAATAATAATAATAATAATATATTATAATAAACCCCCCGCGTATAGTAATAATCTACAACGGCAAACGCAGTAGCGCGGTGTTCGGACTCGAAAATCTGTGTTGTCAGTTTAGTCCGTTCCGGTCCGTTACGCGGTTAAACGTTTTCCTCGCTATTCGCTGGTGTCCGATACCGGCTACTTAATAGCAATCAATTTTACCGCGCGTTTTGACAAAAACCGATTTGATAAGCACACGCCTTATAATAAAATAATAATACACACCTATATATATATATGTATGCAACAATACCCGAAAACTACGAATAGTAGTTATATAACTATTTCTATTGGCGCGTTTCGTTTCGTTTTAATATTCGTGTATACATTTATTATTATTTTTTTTCTGTTCTCGTTTTAGTATAACATACAAACAATCATCATGGTGCCATATAGGTTATTGTTATTAGCGGCGGTAGTATTGCATACGCTTCACTGCGGGATCGCGGCCGGAGCTTCCGGGCCGATGGACGTCGAGTACAGCTGGGTGTTCGTGGACTACACGTTCCCCAGCCCGCAACACCGGGAATCGGCCGTAAAATCGGGACGGTTCATACCGGAAAACTGTGTCATACTGGATGTGGACGTGTTTCAAGGTATGTAACGAACAATAATATAATTGTACAGTAGGTTGGTACACGGTATTAACCGGTAAAAAAGTAAACAGAATAATCGCGCGCGCGTTACCCTTGTGCGGGACAGAACGCGCGCGATAAACGATTTGCCCCACGCCCACCGATAATATTATATTGTTGTCTTTCGCAATCGCCAAAACGCGATTTACGCACAGCTAGGTTTCAAATCCACGTTATAATTGATACGTATATATATAATATATATATAGGTGTATAATTGCGGTTGTCTCGTTTGTCCGGCGGTGTGTAAACTGATAATGATATTTTATAGGTGTTTGTTTTACGGAATTAGTCGGGCACCATGTCGCGTTCAATATGATACACGTATTAAAACGTCCAGGCGCAAAAATATCGCCCTTCTCGGTTTTTTTTTTCAATTCCATATCCTGCGGGCGTAACGAAATCTCCCGATATCATACATTTTTTTTTTATTTTTTTTATAATCTTTTAAACCGATCGTTATACGTACCTATAATGTTTAATCAAAATATTATTATTATTTCGTCATAATGTATAGGTATGTAGTATGTACGTATACCTATACGAAAATTAAGTAACGCCATGTTTGTATTGCGCATTTTGTTTGTTTCACAAATAATAATTTAGTATTATCGTAGGTATAGGTATGTTTCATTATTTAAGAAAAAATAAAAATGATTGACAAACCGAGAACGTTATTGTAATGTACAATGCACACGCCTGTTATTTCGTTTGATTCATAATATTTCGCTCGGCCAATAATAATATTCGATAATATCACAATAATTATGTATATTTTAACCGCGTAAAATCGCATTCGTTCAAAATACATAAAACCCGTAGTAAGTTCACATCTACAATTGCAACGTGTATATTATGTATGTATCAATGATACATACATTGCATCATCCTAGATCCTAGAGAATTAAAGAGCGTAAGTTAATTTTTGGATTTTTTTTTATCGTTTTGTTTTCATAATTATTTTTCCAATCATAAAAAAGTGTAAGTCATACTATATTATATAACCGTTTAACGATTTTTAAATTCTCAACGTTTAATTTGCTTGTATAGAAAACTATACCAATTTGACTTACCAGACGTCTTTCCTGAGACCAAAGATATAATATTTATAAGTATATTAGTTGAGACTTGGTCCAAACAAAATTGTTTTTTAATAAATTGAGAATTGAAAATTGGAAGTTGGAAAAATAAATTCACTACCGTTAAGTCCAAAATTGTATTGTAATACTTTTTTTTTAACATTGGCCCTACTTACCATATTTTTATACTTCTAAACTACAGATGCACATTAAAATAAAGTTGACAGTCAGTTATTTGAAGATTTTTCTCCAACTTTGTAAAATTTGAAAATTATTTTTAAAATTTGAATGGCCACCTTAATGATAACACTAATATACTCTGCCCGATACCCATTTATAGGAGGAAGGGATAAAACCGTTTTTATGGATAAATATGACTTCACGAGAATAGAAATATAGTACTAATTGGCAATTTAACATTTGTTTCTATTTTTATTTTAACTGATAAACGGCAACATTATACAGTCCTCATTGAACTCCGATTTTTATTTGATTTCAAATAATGGTATATATTTATGTATATAAAAAAAACCTTATATTGGTTTTTTTTTTTTTTTTAAAGGCATAATAAATGTTAAAATTAAAATATTGAAAAATCATCAAAATCAACGAGGTATGAGAGTTTTTTCCGTAAGGTATATTTTCGATCTAAAAACTGCGCTTGCACTTAATGTTCAAAAATGAAAACCTGTTGATGATAATCTGTCTTACATAATTTAATTGTACTAAATTATTTTTTGGTCGTGTGAAATTTTTTTTAAAAAAGTACTCTAACAAGAGGATATTTCCTCTTGTTATGTCTGCATTTAATATTAATTTTTTTTTCACTTCTCATATTTTATAACGTGTTAATTTTACCGCGGTTTATAGTATTAAAACATCGTCTTAATACCGTCGCTGCCGCTTACATAAAAACCTAATATTATATTATATGAACGATATAAATGTGAAACAATAGGTGGATACCACTTTTCATATTTTACTGTTTTTTTTTCCAGATATGTCCGAACAAACACTGTACTATGGGGCAACGGGATCGACTCCAAATTCTCTCACTAAAACGCGAGTGTTTTTGACAATCCCTCGTATCAAACCAGGAAATCCCGCGTCGATCGCTGAAATAGTCCCCGGGAACCGGCCTAATTCCGTATTGTTGGCACCGTATCCCAACTGGAAAGCAAACGTCGTTTCGGAAGACAAATTGAATTGCGACGATACTATCGTATCCGTGTTTAGAACGAAAGTGAGTGAGCGCTGAACAATATCGTTTTAACGTATCATATGTTTATTAATTTAAGAATAAAATATGGTTTTAAACCCAAAATGTATAATTGCATTAACAATACATATATACACAAATGTAAAGAACAAAATAAATTTACAAGACCAACAGTTTTAAAAGTATTTTAATGATTATTAATCGATTTATCATGGTAACACTTAATCGTATTGTACCGTGGTTTTAGATCGATATTCTCGGCCGGTTTTGGATCGTCGACGTCGGTACTCTTGATCAATTTGAAATTACTGCGCGTTCCGTGTGTCCCCCAAAAATTCTAATATTTGACTTGAAAAACGGCGATAAACTCATAAGTGAGTATATCAAATCTGAAAATTTCAATTTTAGATACTATACCTAATTTATATTTTATATTTTTTTTACAGAAATGTACAAATTCCCACCGTCGCAAGTGAAAGAGCTGTCATTGTTCACGAACATCGAAGTAGACATTAGAGATCCCAAAGGTCGAAACACATTCGCTTATATAGCCGACACGACCGCGTACAAACTTGTTGTTTACGATTTTAAAAACGACGACAGTTGGGTAGTGGACCAAGCGTATTTCTATCCTTATCCGAACAAAGCTCATTTCAAGATCAACGGAGTGAACTTTGACTTAATGGACGGCGTAATAGGCTTAGCATTAGGTATGATAATTGGGGTTTTTTAGTACTCGCTACTGTTCTCTTCAGATATACCTCACTAATTTCTATTACTATTTATTTTATATTATAGATCCAATCATAAAAAATAATCGAAAATTGTTTTTCCATTCGTTCGCTAGTACGCGTGAATCGTGGGTGTACACCAGTACCTTGCAAAATAAATCGCTATTCGAAAACGGTTTGATCGACGGGTCCGGTAGGTTTTTCGTGTCTTCGGAAGTCCGAGAAGTCCAATCTAGCGTCGAAGTCATGACAAACAACGGAGTGCTTATTTACGCATCTATGGACAACCGTTTAGTCTGTTGGAACAGCCAAGATCCATTTACGGCCAATAAAATCTATACGGTTTACGAGGTAATAATAATTTTAATAATACTCTAAAGAGGTTGGAAGCGGTTTTTCAAATTTTCTCCCATTTTATAAAATTTGAACATTGTTTTGTTAACTTTTAATGACCACCTTAATGGTTAGATTTGTTTCACTAATCTACTGACCTATCTAACTACCCCGATATCAATTGGAGAAAGATTTCGGCTGTTAATATGACATATTAAATCAACAAGCTGTAGTAAAACTAATTTACTATCGCTCTCGCTCTGTTTTAATTTTGAAAATATATTTTAATTCTTGGATTTCTTGTATACATTTTATAGGAAACATTTTTTTTAATTTTTTATTTAGTCAATTTAGTTAAGTTCGAAATGAATGTACCTGTTTTGTTAAAAATAAACTCATAACAAATAGTGTAATAAAACAAAAAAAATTAAAATATGCTGCTTGCAAAACATAGAGAAGAAGTGTACAAAGTCAAATTATTTTTTAAAACAAAAATTATTGGACTACTGAAAGCTTCTTGATCTAAATGTATGAAATAACAAATCGCTTTCATTCATCTTTGCGTAACACTTTCAATAGATAGAATTTTACTAAATTATATTTCGTGCGTAAAATTATGTTTTATTACTCATTTTACGTTTCGCTAAAAATATACAGAAATTTCTACACGCGGAAAAATGAAGTTAAAGAGAATTCATCTTTTTTGATGTTGCAACTTTAAATTGTTTATATAATAAATCTATATATTTTAATTTGTTTATATAGAGCGACGAAGATTTTCAATTTCCCAGTGGCATGAAACTCGTTAACGACAAAGTATGGGCGGTGTCGTGTCAGCTTCAAAATCATTTCACTACAATTGCCACGGACCGGCAATCGGTCAAGTACCGAGTGCTCGTCGGTCGAGTGGACGAACTGATCAAAGGCACGGGATGCGATAAAAGGTCGGCGGCAATTCCTAAAGGGTCGCAAAATTCTTTCGCTTTTAACAATAATAAGCTTGTTGTAGGCAACCGGCGGTCGGTAACTAGTAGCAACAGACAGTACTAAAAATATTATAGTACGGTACTACGGTATAGCAAACGTACTCGCTTCAATATATTTGATAATTTAAACATTATTATTATTAAAATCTTATTTGTCCGTATATATTATAGTTTTCACACATTTGTTGTGCTGATTATACAATATACATATAATACAATAATGAAAATATTGATTTACACGATTACCTACAAATTTACGAAAAATAATATCTAACCTTGACACAGATATATTTAAATTAACTAGACTATATAATACTTACGTACATAAACGACTACTAACAAAACTAAACAACTGTAAGATTATATATTTCCAAGGACTAATACCTGAATATTATCCTTATAATACACTGACGACGTAAGTGACAAACTATATATTATTATTTATTATTTATTAATTTAAAATAAATTGTGTACATACATATATATATATATATACATATAAATTATTTATTTATTTATTTATTGAAAAAAAAAACACATTTTGCTGTAAATAAATTATAGTATTGTTGCTGCACCACAATTATTCTTCGTATTTTTTTTTATAAAATATTGCTTCAAATCTTTATATTATTGTGGACTACAGGTTTCCTTCGCTGTGTAACGGGTTATTCCTTACGGTATAAAACCTCGAGAATGTGGTAGATACATATTATATTATATATAAATTATTTTATTTTGTATTTTAATATATATACATACAGGATACAATTCGACGATACCAACGATGACGAGATACTGGTAGAATCTTTCGAGGGTAACATGTTGCGCGAATGGCGTGCGCCACCGGAAATGCCGTGGAGCTACTCTCGGATATCCAGGGTGTTTGAGAACAAGAACCGCAAGGCGCCCGGGAAATCGTTGGTGTTGACCGGGAATGTAAACTTACACAACCCCAGGAAGTCGACTGCACTGTCGTACGATTGCAGGATGAGTTTAACAGACGGTCAACCGAACAGTCCGAACTGTTTGGGCAAGGCTATGACGACGACGACAACAACACGACGGAGAAACCGGATAAAAAACGTACCGGGTCCCTTGAGGTGATACCAATAGTAACTGTAATATATATATATTGCAGATAGTATAGCTTTTGTAATAATATCATAATAACTGTTGTCATTTTACTTGTATAGTTTCTGCGAATAGTCTACAAAATTATAATATGTGTAGGCAATAACACTACGTCATATTTTATAATTTTTTTTGTAAACCACGCATAACATTCGTGAGATGTATAACCTAATTATTTTATCCAGCAGCTCGTTTCGTATAACCTAGCTGGGTACTTACACAGTGGAACTATAACTCATTATTATTTTTACAAGCTTGTTAGGATGTATTATGTAATGTAGACTGTAGCTGGAGGATTTTACGCTAAATATCAGATTATTCATTTAGATGTACTTTTGAGAAAATGTTGAACGCTAGACAAATTGGTATAGATCAATGTTTCTAAATTTGTTTACGGTCGTAATCTAATATTCAATAATTTAGCGGTCCCCAAATATATATTTTAAACACGGCAACTCGATATTTTATATTTTCATTGACCCTAAATAATTAGTTGGTAACCCCTAAGGTATTGCAATATGCATTTATTCGTACCTAACTAAAGATGTGATTAAAATTTATTTGATTTTCAAATTAAAAAGTATACGTATATAGTTTGTTATGGTTTGTTATGGAAATTTGAACTAATTTGTTGCAACGTTTAAATTCTATATTGTATTATATTAATATGATCTATTCGTTAAGTTTATGACATTTTATCATCGTTATTATTTTCACTTAATTTCATTTTTGCTTTTTTAAATATTTGAATCTTTGTTATATCTCTAGTATTATAATTTATAACGTACAAATACACTACGAGTAAATTAATATCATTTCCATTACATTATTCCACAAGAATAATTATATTATATAGTTATTATTAATTATTATACCAATTGTGACTTAAAATAATATGCTTTTTTCGTCTTCTTTGTCCATTAAAATAATACATATTAGTTCGAAATTATTGAGATAGTACATATAGTTTTGTAGATAAACATTAATTACCTATATACAAGTAGGTACATTATTTAGTAGGTATAATTATTACTTTGTAAGTAATACAACTTGTAGTTGTTTTACTAACCATTAGCAATGTATAAAAAGTTTACACGTATAACTTATAAGCAAACATCAATATTTATAACACAATGCTCAATATTATTACCAATCTAGTTTTTAACAAGCTTCACAAATAAAAATATTAGTTTATTAAATAATACATAGGTAGTGTTATTAAATAAAATATTTCCCAAACAAATAATATAATTTTATTATTATACAATTTAACATGTAAAAATACACTATATTTCTTTTGTAATGTAAACATTTTATACAATTTGCCAGATTACCTCTAGATGCGTAATTTGTATATATTTACCTATATGTTAATAGAAAATATGTGTCATATATTATTATTACTAGTATAATTGTATACCTACCTACTTACATTTCATAATTACAGATGTACTGGTATTATTATTATTTCATATTTGATAGTAATTTATGTACTTATGCATTATTAAAAAAAAACTATTACTTAATATTGTATTTCATTATATCAACTCTATTTACTCTTGTTTGTAATATTATTTAAGTTATATATTAAAATGTTAATATTTTGTGATTTATTAAATTATTTGCATTGTGTAAAAACCATTTTTGTTTAATGATCATCCCTAGGAGAAATTATGAGGCTTAGACGTAAAAGTCTAACCCCCACCCCCAAAACATATAATGCTTATTTTTTTTCTGGCTGTATTAGCGAGTAACTTACAAAATACTCATCTATAAAGTTATTTAATTGAGTAGTGACGTATCCAGGAGGGGGGGGGGGGGGTAGGAGTTGTAATCCCCCCCTGAAATGTTTTAGAAATAAAATATTCTTACTGTGATAAAACCGTTATAATTTCAAACAACTTTATCTATTTCCATAAGTTTTCCACTTAGCCGATATCTTCAAACACTAAATCTTGATTTAAAAACTGTATTAAAAGCTGCTAATGCTCAAATAATATTTAGGTTAATAGAGAAAATTGTGATGTAGAGTTTCAACAATTATTTTTATCTGTAATAACTATCTGTGGAAAATTTGACATTACTGTTAGTTTGCCATGTCAATCTAAATCAGATGATCCAGAATATTTGTTTAAGTACTCTGTACATTTTATAGATAATTGTTTAGACTAATTGAACGAAAGATTTATGTCACACATGATTGTTTTGAATAATTTTGATTATATTTTATCTAAGATAGAAATGAAAATATCTGAAGATATTAAAGGTAAATTCAAACAAATAGCAGAAACATATCAAGATATGATTGATAAATGTAACGATTCAAATTTAAATGATCATATATTAAACGGAGATTTAGATTTATGGTACACTAAATGTTCAAATTTAACATCTTCCAAACTCAAGAATAAAAATGCTATTGAAGTATACTTCCAAACTAGTTCAAATATTTATCCAGTAATATCTAAACTATTCTTCAAATATTCATAACACTTCCAGTGTACTGCCTCGGGAAAACGATTCTTCGGGACAAATATGTTCAAATAGTTTAGCGTCACTAAAATATATTTATTGCGATATCAACATAGATATCAATGATTTTACAGATGACCTTGCTAAATCATCAAAACAAAAAATGAATATACATTTATAATTTTTAAAAAAGATAAATATTTCAACTTTTATATAATTATTGCTGTAAAATAGTAATAAATGTATGATTATATTCCACACAAAATTCAAAACAATTTGTACATTTTTTTTTTTAACTCACATTAAAAGAAATTCTGGATACGCCACTGTTACTGAGTATAATAAGTACTGACAACTAATTAAAATATTTTATAGTAGTCGTAATAATAATAAATATTTTGATCAAACTCATCAAAATAGTTAATTAAAATTTTCAAATCGGATGATAAATCCCTAAAAAAAATGTATTATAATAATTTTAAAAGTTATGTCTCATCCATCTGTGTATAGAATATTCTTCCGGACGTGCGTAGTAAGAATAATAAATTCAATTACGTACGTATAATTATTATACTATACTCAGATATGAGATTAAATTTAAGATAAACTGAATAATAATATAAAAGATCTATTAAAATAATATGAACAGGTGGCTTGTTAATGGATTGTTTAAAAAGTGAAACTAGCACTTAAAGTTTATCAAAAATAAATGGAGCCAAAGGTTATAAAAGTGATGATAGTTAAAATCGTCTAATTGTATAACCGTAAAAATAAAATTGTACTGTATTGTGTACTTGTGTTATACCGACGCGTTAGAGCGTTCAATTATTTTACGTCTCCGGATTTTCGTTTTCCTAAATTTTTAGTGGTACAATAGTAATAATTTTAATTTTAATTTAAAACGGTTCTCACAATTAAACTCGTGATAGGAATAGATCGTCAGAACAATTATTTGGAAACTCAACAATTTTAACGGAAATGATTAGGTACTTAATCATCATGGTCTAGGTAACATATTTAATTAAATTGTGTACTGAATATATTAAAGGTTTAAAAATATTGATATACTTCGCACGATGCAACCATTGAAGTTGGTGAGAAGTTGGGGAGGTAAGATATAGAAGGGAAATTAATTTATATCTGTAAGCAACGGTAAACTATTGCTAAAGAAAAAATGATTCTAAGCGGAGTACAGTTGATAGTGATGCCTTGTCAACTATGTCATACTATGGTAAAATAATTAAATAGGTATTATAAATTTTCTTTAATAATATTTGTTTATTATTTTACTGATTTTTCCGTTTTTCCTACTTTTTCCCCGATTTTACCATGTTTTTCTCGATTTTTCACATTTTTTAAGAAAACACTTGGGAAAATCGAAAAATAACCTACCTAAGGTACAAAACCAAGAAAATTTCTTTTTAGAAAAGAGTCTACGTTGTATAAATCGGAGTAACCATTCTGGTAAAAAAGTATTCACATAAAAAAAAAACAATAATAAACATCTCTGTAAAACCAATACATTCTTCGCTACACTCAGAATCTAAAATAACAATAATAATAATAATAAACACTTTAAAAATCATAATAATAATCACTTTTTAATAAGGAACATAATAGGTAACAATGAAAAGTATAATAATTAAATAATAATAATCACCAATGACAATAATAATAATAATAATAACATTTTTATTGCATTATTATTATGATCATTGAAATATGCTGATTATTATGAAAATGTTGATTATGATAATTGTTGACATTATTTTTATAATTGATGGTTGCTATGAATATGATGATTTCATTATTATTGATTAATATCATTAAAAGTACTGATGCTAATTTTATTGCTTCGATTAAAATGCTCATCATTATTAATAGTTTTTTTAATAGTATTTATATTATTCATGATGATTATGATTTTTCCCTAAAGTCCTTCACCATGTGGATTATTGATTCTTGTATCGTGAAACCAGTCCCTAATCTATGTCCTTGTTCACTATTTCCGTTAATGATGGTTGTTTGATAAATTTTACTAGATCCTGCATCTTCCCATCTCACTTCTTGTAGGGCAATACATCTTATTTTATATTTTTCTGCTACTCTTAATAAATTCAATGCTGCTCCTTGTTTAAATAAAGTTCATAAATTCCAAGTACCACAAAATAAATCCGATTTCCAGTTTCCAGTCTTTTTTCCAAATAATCTATCCCGAGGCTTGGTGTTAGAGTCCTGAACCAAAACTTGTTTTACTAGGCAGGGTTGTTAACCCTGCGCTAAACCCCCAACCTGGAGGACCAGACTACNTTTGGGAAGACCAAAATTGAGATGGGAAGATTTAGTTAAGAGAGATATAGAAGTCTTAGGATACGGAGCAAACTGGAAGGATTTGGCGATGAATAGAGATGCCTGGAGAATTGGTTGATGATCCTAGCGGCCGATTAACCCAAGAAGAAGATTATGATTTTTAAAATGCCCATTATTATTATTGTTATACTTATTTGATAACCCTTATTAAAATTATGATTATGATATTTATTGATGATTACTATTATGATTAATGGTTGTTATAAGTATGCTGATTATTATTATTGTTAATTAATATTATTAAAATATTGATGATTATTATTATGCTGATTTGATTATTATTATCAAAATACTCATTATCATTATTGGTGATTATTATTTAAGTGCTCATTATTATTATTATTATTATTTATATGTTTATTATGCTTATTATTGATACTTGCTGGTAGAAAATTTATCCAGAGGAAAAAAAAGACCGTAATATTTTACTAATAATTTTCGTAAATTTTCCCGGTTTTTTTAATATATAGAGAAAAACAAATAATGATCTCCTTAATGTACCACTCCAGTTAGGTTGCCTTTCAGAAAAAAAGCTATCACTGTAAATCGGAACAAAATTTCTGTTAGAAAAGTTGTTCACAGATTAAAAAAATAATCATCTTTGTAAAACCATAAGCTTCTTCGCTCTACTCAGAATCTAAAATTATTTTTTCAAGTATTATTGATCACGATATTACAATAAATTGTTGTACATTCAATGTGCTAGTATTACAAGTATTTCGCCTGCGAAGTAACTATTTTACAACTAAACATACATCGCTTAATGCAATAATTTATATACTATTTTTATAAAAGGAACCGACCAAATTGATATCAGAAAAACAGATCTCATTTCGCTTACTCAACTCAAGCAAGTATTATACATAGGCATATGATATTATCATTTAAATGTACAAATATACAAGACATAATTTGCTTATACTTTAAATATTTGCTTAAGGATTTTTTAGATTCTGAGTGAGGTAAGCGAACCAAATAAATTGGTTTTACTATAATTTTCTTTTTTTTTTGTTTGTTGTGAAACATAAATAATGTATTACTTAATTGAGTAGTAAAAATATAGGCATTATCGAAAGTAACCTGTAACCAAGTATTATCGTGTAACACGGCGTGAATTATACTCATTTACTAAACAATTTTAATTTATTTTTTACGAACTAATTACAAACTTGTCGACCATAATATCATTGAAAACATTTAGTTTTAGATTCTGAACTAAGCGAGGAATGTTTTCGTTTTACTATGTTAAGTTTATTTTCTGTCTGTAAACAACTTTTCGAAATAAAAACTTACTAGGATGTATCAAGCGTAGAACTTTTTCTGAAAATAGATGTTATCTAGTGAACCAATAGAAAGTTAATTTTTTAATGTTTCAAGACATTTTTAAAATAGTGGGGAAAACCTGAAAACAAAATTATAGATAAAACGGCAAATATTTACAACACATTGCGGTGTTATAGATTACATTATTATTAATTTTTATTAACTAGGTATGTTTTCTACTAGAAATATTGCTTTTTGGATTTAAATGCTTACGGAGTAAGTTGGTTTTTATTTCTTCAAGAAGTTTACATAATACTTGAAAAACCGGAAAAGGATAATACATGAAAAACTAATAAATTTACGACATATGATTTCATTATGTTATATTGGTACGAATTTTTTTTTCTAACAGAAATATAAATCCATTAAATAATGAAAAAAAATATTTTTTATTCAATTTTTAATCTAGTTGATAAATATGCATGTTGTTTTTTCTTGTATTTTTTTAATAATTGAAAAATTGAAAAAAAATG